AAACGTTTATAAAAAATAAAATATTTAAAAAAATTGAATAAAATAAAAATAAAAAACATTTTCGGTATCGGTTTCGGCCTGACATTTTTTTTAAAATTTCGGTTTCTTTTCGGTTTTAAAATTTCCATTTTCGGTGCACCTCCTAATAAAAAAATAGATATATAGATATATTATATACGCATGTACGTACGTGTTTGTTTGTGTAAGTGATATATGACGCTCCCTGTTCACTTTATTAGATACACCTTGCTAGTTCTGGGTTGGACCCCTTTTGTCTTCAGAACTGCTTTAATTTTTCGTGGCATTGATCCAACAAGTTGATGGAAACATTCCTTAGAGCAGGGGCGCCCACTATTTTTCGTCTGGAGATCTACTTTTCAAATGACGAGCTCATTGAGATCGAGACGAAAAAACACCTGCATTCAGGGGCGGGAGGGGGCGTGGCGGTGCATTGAAGTCAATAACACCGCAGCCAGGCTCCAGCAGGCCCCTCGCCCACAGTGCGATCACCTGCATTAGTTCCTGTGTTCCAGTCCAGTGCGATCCGCAAAAATACTGCGAGCACTATTTTTGCAGATCACACTGGACCGGAATGCAGGCACTAATGTGCCTGCGTTCCAAGTGCGGGCGATCACAATGTGGGCGATGCCATTGACTTCAATACAGCTCCACACCCCCTCCCGCACCTGAACGCAGGGAGTCGGCCGGCTTACATTCCAGTGCGCCCTAGATGTCCCAGCGTCCTGTCCTCCCGTGGTGCTCGTGTGGCCGACGTTGCACATGGGGTGTCCTGCACCTTTCCATCTGCAGTGTCTGACACATTCAGCCGGCAGCCGCACGAGCACCACGGGAGCATAGCCGTAGCCAGCTCCTTTAGCGCCTGAGGCAAGAAAAAAAACAACGTTTTTTTTATTTATTTTATTATTGGGCTCAGCTTCTCCTCTGCATCCCCCTGCTCTCCCAGGCAGAGGCAGCAGGGGATCCGACGAGAAGTGAAAGAGCACTTCAGCCGCGGGGGGTGTCGGAGCCGCTGTGACAGAACGGACGAGCAGTGAGGGGAGAGAGAGGCGCCGGCTGTCAGATCCTGGCCGAGGATATCTCTCTTTCTCTTTTTCTCTTTTTCTCTTTTTCTCTTTTTCTCTTTTTCTCTTTCTCTCTTTCTCTCTCTCCCATCCGTAGGTCGCAACAGGACCAGGCAACGTTTTTCCAATCTTTTATTATACAATTTTGGTGAGCCCTTGCAAAC